TCATAAATAAGATAATAGAGGATAACACCATAACTGCCATCTAAAACCACATCCAGAATTTCAAACTAATATCTACTTCTTTAACTTTAAGAGAATCTATGGATTGTTCAGATAACAATTCCATAGTTGGAAGCATTATTTTCTATAACATCCTTAGCTAAGGAGTTAATAGGTAAAGCAGAAGAAGAAGAAGAAGAAGAAGAAGAAGAAGAAGCGGAATGCAAAGCAGTACCTTTTTTAATGGCATAGTTTGCCTTCCTAGCCGATAGAGTCTGCTTCAAGAAATTCTTATGCTTGATGCTCAAGGATGACTTCCTTGCAATGCGAGAAGAAATCCCTTCAATAGGTCGACGAGAAAATCCTGGAGGAATAGAGCATGAAGTTTGAATGGCTGAAGTTTGAGCAGAGTTTGACAGGATTGATGTTGCAGAGTTTGAATCTGATTTCCCTCCAAGATGAGCTTCCCAAGTAGAGCCTTCCATATAAATTGTTTTACCTTTCCATTTTTTCTTTATTAAATCAAACGGAAAATCCAGCAAAGAATCTGGAACCAAATCTGAGCTGTCATTCGTTGCCACAAAATCAGCATTGCCATTTTCTACCATATTATTAGGATTTTGAGTGTGAATTATTTCATTAGAAGGAGGAGGAATATCAGCAAGATTTCCTATCTCCGCAAGATTGAAATAGTCTTCAATTATCTTCTTACCCTTATCATCCACCACTGCTGTCGCCTTGACTTGAGTAGATTCTCCTGCCGATGGCGCCTCTTTAGGATGAGAGATCTGCTCTGCCCATTGTGTCTCTGGAACTGTCTCTCCTTGCGCTTCCATAGCACTCAAATGTTTGCCAACAACATTTGATCCTAGTTGCCCTACTCTAATTGGAGTAATCTCAAGCTTAACTTCTCTGGTGAAACAGTCTATTTGAGAAGTGTAGGAACATATAACAGACTGAGGAATGCACTCGGGTCTTTTAACCTTAACAAGGATACGAACATCTTCTCCATTAAGCTTGTCTTTAAGATTCTTGCATCCCCTCACCAATTCACCAAAGGATCCTACAATTTTCTCCAGAATATCCGTAGACCAGAATTGAAAAGGCAAATTCTTTATCTTAATCCACTGGTAAAAAGCAGAATCAACGACCTTCATACCAATATTTTCTGTCCAAGGAGCCAACCACCCTTTGAAATGACCAAAATCAATTCTATGTACATCAACAACATCAGACATTTGATAAAATGGTGGAAATTCCACAAGATAGGTTTTGTCTTTAATAGGAATTACTTTACCTCTCCATTCCTTCCATTGAAAATTTAAAGTCAGTCTAATTTTAATGAGCTCTAGAGAAGGCGAACCTTCTGTAATGGAAAGAATAGCAAAAGAGGTTAAGACTTTGGCATTGTTGCATAGGGTTGCTGAATCTGATAGATCGACTTTCTTATCCTGCGAACAAAGATGGAACCTGCAATTCTTATCAACATGAACCTCCTCATTACATTTGAAACAACGAAATTCCCCTTTAGGGCAAAACTTAATGAAATGGCCTGAGTCGCCGTATTTGAAACAACGCTTTGGCTGTTTTAGATCTCTGCAATCTGAGGGAGAAGGATGCCTCAAAAAGTCGCTATTCATCTTACGCTCTTTCTTCTTCCTCGATATAGTGGTTCATCCTAGATCAGGGACTTTGTTAATATTCAAAGGGCTAAAAGACTTTTGAAAATCGCTGAAGGAGGAAAAAGGAGGTTTCTTTGCTGGCTGATTATTATCAAACAAGGAGTTGAAAGGATGATGGAATTGATGCTGGTGTTGCTGCCACTTATGCTTAGGAGCCTCAGGAAAAAACATGTTGGAGATTTTTGCATATCTTGGATATGACGTAGCATTCATCGGGATCGTGCACCACCTAACGACGAGGAGAAGAATTGAGAATCCCTCGTTAGGAAGGATAACATACCTGAGCTGCATCGTTGTTATGAATCTCCTTCCTACCATTGGAATTCGAGCTATCGCCATAATCCATTGAAGATGATTTGTTCCCAACGGATCTGAGGAGGGAGGTGTCGGGAGCACAGAGGGAGAGGGGAGGGCGACTGCTCTGAGGGGAGGGGGAAGCTGAGGCGGCGGATCTGAGGGGCGGCGGATCTGAGGGGGAGGGGGTGGATCTGAGGGGAGGGGGAGTTGAACCTTGGCGCAATGGAACAGACGGCGGTCCGACAAGGAGATCAGCGATCAACGATGACTATGATGTGTTTTGACCAAGCAAAGACACACCTGAAAGCGTCAATCCTCACAAAGGAGGATATCGGCTTTACCTGAATGCCTCACGAAGGAGAACACTGAGGGAAAAAAGACCAAAAAAGCTGATATATAGGGAGTGATAAAGCTACTGGCACTCCCCGAATGTCTAACGAAGGAGAATAAAGAGGAAACCAAGACCAAAAGAGCTGATATATAGAGGGGGCTAAGGCTACCGGCTCTATCCGAATGTCTCACGAAGGAGAACAAAGAGGGAACCAATACAAAAAAAAATTTGATATATGGAGAGGGATTAGGCTACCGGCTCAACCTGAATGTCTCACGAAGGAGAACAAAGAGGAACCATTCCCTCAAAAAAGCGTGACTGAGGGGGTGGGTGCTATCTGCCTGTGGTAAGGGGTGGGGTCTGGTTGTAGGGGCGCCGGGGGAGGCTAGCAGAGCGGGGCTAGCTAGGGCGGTGCGGGGTGTGTAGGAGGAGACTGAGTTGTACAGATTTTAAATTTTAAAATTCAGAAGTTCAAATATCAAATTCAAAAAAATGGTTTAGATCTGAGGGGAGGAGAGAGAGGAGGGGGGAGGGCGGAGGAGGGTTGGGCTGGAGAGAGGAAGGAGTGGGGGCTAAGGAGTAGGAATGCGTTGGGGGTTCGGAGTGGGGTGTGAGGGGTTGAAAGGGGGAGGTCTTGGGGGTGGGGGGGTGGGAGGGCTGGAAGAAGGAGATCTAGGGGCTGAAGGAGGAGAAGCTGAAGGAGGAGGAGTGCTGGGGGGCTCGAGGAGGTGAGGGGCGTGGGTGAAGGAGGTCTTAGGGGTGGGGAGAGGGGGGCTAGAGGAGGGGGAGTGGGGGTGAAGAGGAGGAGTGCTTCGGGGTGGGCTCGGGAGGAGGCGAGTGCAGGGGTGTTGGGGACTGAAGGGGAGGTCTTGGGGGCAGAACGTGAAGAGGAGATCGGGGGGAGGCGGAGGAAGGAGGGGGAGGGGGAAGAAGTCCTTATCTAGGTTATCTTTGAATCATTCTCATCTTGGTTCAATCCTAACCTTGTTAAAACCTTAATAAGATTGGTGTAAAGTCACCAAACACATGGGGGTTATTCGTTCTGGATTGTTGATTTAGACTCAAACTAATGGTTTGGTTTTTGAGCGAGACACTAGCAGTGGGCAGCTATATATTAGATACGTAGATTTGGACTACGCTGGAGATTTGGATAAACGTCGATCAACGATGGGGTATGTGTTCACTTTGACTCGTATGCTAGTGTGTTGGAGATGCACCTTGCAGTCTATGGTGACTTTATCGACGATGGAGGTAGAGTATATGACGATTACGGAGGCTGTTAAGGCGACGATTTGGCTTCGAGGACTTTCGGAGGATCTTGGTGTTTCGCAGCGATCCGTCACCATTTATTGTGATAGCACGAGTGCTATTTATTTGGCGAAGAATCTGGTCTTTCATGCGAGAACGAAGCATAACGACGTTCGCTATCACTTCGTTCGAGATGTTCTTGAAGATGGGGATGTGAAGCTCGTGAAGGTCCATACAAAAGACAATCCAGCGGATATGCTTACAAAGGTGGTTCCGAGCAACAAGTTCGATCATTGTAGAAACTTGTTACAAATTCGTGATTGTTGAGGCCGTTCGCGACCATTTGGATGAACTACAGGCGGCTTGATCTCTTGGGAGAGGGGATACGTAGGCAACCACATTGGTGCAGCCGGATTTGATGAGACGACGCAATGGTGCTCATGTTTGGTGTCGACTCAGTTTTGGAAAAATTTCGCCGAGGTGGAGAATTGTAGAAAATACAGGCAAAATCAGGAAAACTGAAGCTGAGAAGCAACTACAGGGATCCTCGGGTCAGTCGACTAAAGGAGCAAGGCCGGTCGATCGACGCAATCGCCAGAAAGTTGGTTTTACCGAATGAGCATGGTCGGTCGACTGCAAAGCGAGTATTTGGGCCGTTTGTTTTCCTAGTTGGTTTTGGATGGTGTTTTTTATATGAATTGAAACACAATTTATAGGGTTTATTAACTAGAGATTATTGAGTCTTTTGAGCACTTTGAGAGAGAGATATTATGAGGGAGTTGAGAGCTTTGGTTAGGGTTATATTTGAGTAATTTTATGAGTTGTAACCCATTGTATTTCTCCTCCATATAGTGAAATCTCCCTATCCTCTCCCCGTGGACGTAGGCAATTGCCAAACCACGTAAATCTCTGTGTTTGGTTTGATTTGTGCCGTATTTTGGTGGATTGCACTCGTATTTGATTTAGTTCTCTTCTCTTATCGCTCACGGACTCATTTAGTTGTTGAGCACGCTTCCGCACTGCGTGCAACAGCTATTCAATGTGAGATCCTGGGAGCCAAACCCAAAACACAAAATAAAATAAAACAGCCACGACCTGGAACGGCTAATTAATATGAAGTTAGATGCCAACATAACACGGAGTTCATATAGAGTACTCTTGAACACAAAATAAAGTCTAGTTAACCGAGTAGAAGGCACTACTATTTTAATAGCTTATTAATATTCTAAAAGATAGGAAAACATAACTGGAATTGGTCAGCTATGACCGCTCTAAATTAACGCATTTTTAGTCATTTTCTATATCCACCTCTCTCCTACCTAGCAATTGCGACTGAAGACTAATATAATCAACTAAATACAATAATTAATTAAGGAAGACTAAAATAAGTCTTTTAATATTATTGGCTGAGCCTTGTAGCCTCTTATAAACATATCTCTTATTCACTGATCCTTCAAAGTCCTCACACAATTTGGAGATCATTCCCTCAAGAGACCTCAAAAATGGTAAGCCCCTCTTTCTTTCTCCCTCTCTAATTATGCTAGCAAAATCATAATTAGTGATGAAATTCTATAATTTAACTATCTTATTAGTTGATGATTTGATGTTATCTTTTGTTGTTAGTATTGCACTCGCCCAACTTGCAGACCAGGCAACACTTGTGGGCCGTATTGTATGTATGAGAACTCCACTTTATATTACAAATACATCTACCCTGTAAGTATACTATGTATATGTTTGTGTGTGCACGTAAAATTTTATGTTGATTATTGAGATGGCAGTGAGCAAAAAGTTAATATATACCTTGATATTTAATTATGATCCTTGGAAGTTTGATCCTTTTATGTGTTAATGTTGAGACTTTGGGTGAGCTTTACTTTTACTTTATCAGTTGTTGTACTAAAAGCATAAGGGTGAATTGTGCACTTTATTGTTCATGATTACAATTATTGTGCTTGATTTTCCCCCTCTTTTTCCTTCTATTTAATTTCCTTTTCTTTTCATGTTGCTTTACATGGCTTATTTGTACGAGTAATATCAATTTCTCAACTAGGGTTGGCAATTGGGCGGGTTGAGCCACTCATCACCCAACAAGCCCGTCGGTTGTTAAAGTTATACCAATTTCTAAAATCTCACCCTTCATTTTTTTCCTTTTTTTGGTTAATGTATTTACACTAAAGAATTCGAGCCAGTCCTATTAGGGCTGCAATCAACTATAATGAAAAAAAATGCAGAAAGTAAAGAGAACACCATATAAAAATGGTCATAGCCAATAACTAGAGTTTTATTTCTTCGAAAGCTAACTGCCAACCTCCAGCCAAAAAGTCTTTTACGGAGTAAAAAATAAAAGAAAAAAGTAAACATATTTTTTTTTTATCAAAGGTAGAAAAATGTTGAAAACTAGACAATTACTTGTAAATAAGAATCAGAATCCTCCACGTCAAATTTGAGTCAAAACGTAACTGTTTCATCCGTCAAAATCTGTTAGTACGTCAAAATCTGCGGCGAAAACAAAACCTCTTTAACTACAATGTTAGGGCCAATATGATGTATAGAATTTCATGAAGAATCTAACGGATATCAATGTTATGGGATCAACTGGTCCATGTTAGCGCTCCATTAGAATTTTCAATTTTTTGCTAAAAATATACATTAAGAATGTGCTCTGGCTGAAGTTTGACAATTGACTTTCAACATATATCAAGAGATGTTCGGTTAAATGGAATACACAAAAGGATGCAGAAGGTAAGGGTTAGAGAATAAAATTATAATACTTAGTTCACATAAAAACTTGGAAGTTTTAATATAAAAGTAACAGACATTTAGGAACGAATAGAGAGATTGTGATATAGGATCAGTCGTGGGACTTTGACAGTGGAATTTTAATACCGTCAGAGTTTCAAAAGTTCCTCATCTTAAAGTTTCATTTCTTTTTCTTTTTTTAATGAAAACTTGTAAGAAAAAGAAGTAGATAGATATATAAACAAGAGTTACGCATGGGTCTCCGAAAATAAGAATTTTTATAATTTTTGTAGAAAATTAAGTTTGGGCTAAAATAACAATGATACTTTTGTCCTTTCCTTTTCAATTCCTATCCTATTATTTCTCTTTCCATAAGGGCAACTTTAGAAGCCTTTACAAGCATACTTGCTAGAAGATCAAAAGGTTAGATTAGTAAATTATTTCTGTTACAAGCTTCATCGAACTTTCTCTAAATTTCAGGTTAATGATGGGATTGATGATCAAATGAAGATTATCTTTTTATCTAAATATAACTTTTTGTAATTTAAAAATCACACATCTCATTTTAATACTAAAAATTTTTCATTCATTTCATTACATGTCTACTTTTTTTTAATCATGATTGGATTCATGCCTGTGATAGTGATAAAATCTGTAATCATATGTGTATGAAGATTTTATTAATTTAATTTATTTAGAGAAAAAAATTTAATTTATGAAAGGAAAACATAAAAAAATAATCTTATATATTCTATTGAATATAGATTATAAAAGTAATATTTCCTCGCCATAAATATGAATTAATATATATAGAAAAGAGAAATCTAATATGATAGAATATGGCAAAAGTAAATTCTGTTGAAAATAAGTGAGAAATTAGTTGAAGAAAACTAACCCTACTCAAATAATAGTTCTATCCTTTTTTTAATCATGTTTTAACTATTAAATTACGCTTGTAAATTCAACCTCTTTAAAAATATAGATGTGGAAGGCCTCTCAAGCATATAATCCTCTATTTTTAGAAACCAGCATTGTTACATTTAGGGGTAGAAAAATCCAATAAGAAAGAATTGGGGGGTAATCTTGCAAATACCAAAATTTGGGGGATAAATTTGCAAATAAGAAATATTTGACAGGTATATATGCAGAAACCCCAACATAAAAATAAATGAATGTGAGTAAACTAATTCTTCATTACTACTTTTCAACAGTGGAGAGAATTCGAACCCAAGAAAAATGGCTCCTTTCTAGCTGAGTATAGTTCTCTATTTTCATAGAAACTTTAAAAAATGAAAAGATTTATAAGTGGCCTGCAAATAATCATGAAACATCTCCGCTCCACTTTGGCTTTTCTTAAAAATATGTGGAAAGTTGCTGTAGTTGGGAATATGGACATTCGCACAGGGCTGTTGCAACACTAACTTTCTTTTTAAAAAAATTCTTAAAAAATATCAACTTGTATGAGATTTGGTATAGGAGTGCCATATCACCCTTTTTAGGGTTGGAATTTTCTTGATCCTAAATTGTAGGGAATATCTATAATTATCTAGATGGATGAATAAAATTGGTTCATTTAGTGGACCACACAATTAAGATGGATTTTTATATAAATTATTAAATTAATATAAGAATTTGGACCTCTCCACCACCAAAAAATGGTGGAGTGACTACTACCTTTAAAGCTAATCGTTAATTATCTAATAGATGATTGCGATACATTCTATATCTAATACTCAATGTGCCCCTTATATTGCATTAGTTCCTAATTTCTACTTACAGAAACAATCATAACTACCCACTATATACACAATGGTTGTATTTAAGTAGTGGTTTCTCTACTATTTTTATTATAGCGTAGAGGATCCAAATCTTTAATGTAATATATGTGGTCTCTAAAGTGAAAGGAGGCTATTGATGACTTGTAAGCATCTTTTATAATTTAGGATGTAGAGGATCCCTAGGGGTGTCCAAATGGGCCTGAGGCCCAACCCGATGCCCGATGCCCGATGCCCGATGCCCGCCCAAGGGCCGGGTTTGGCTGCGGAACAACCGGGCCAAACTGTGTTTCGGGCCCGTGCCCCAGGCCGATTCGTCGGCGCCCACACGGGCCCGCTCCGGCCCAACGAGGAGAAACGGCTAGGTCAGGATAACTTGGCCTGGCCGGGCCAGGCAGTGTCCGGCCCAACCAAAACAGTCACCTAGGTGACCATTTGGTTCCTAAGGTCGACCCGGTCTGCTCCAGCCCTACCTAGTCATAACGGAAAAAAAAAACGGTCATATTTAACTTTTTTACCAAAATACCCCCAAAAAGTTAAAAACGGCCAAATTTTGAGGGTATTTTGGTCATTTATCTAGAGGCTGCCACTATAAATAAAGGGGGTTTTTATTTGTTTTTCTCATCCAAAACTCTTTTACTTCTCTCTAATACTCTCTTATATTCTCTAATACTCCCTTATACTCTCTTATACTCTCTAATACTCTCTTTTCCTCTATAATTCTTCAATCAAATGGCTTCCTCCTCTGATTATGAAGGGCAAAATCCAACTCCCAATCTTGAAATGAGTCCTCCTACTACAGGAGCTACAGCTACTACTCCTACTCCTACCGATGCTGATCCCATCTCCGGTGGCAACTGGTTGCATTGGAAATCTTTTTCATTATGGAATCCATTACAATCGTTTATCGATTTACAAGATTCGAAAGAAGGAGCCTTTTTATAAGACTTTTCTTACCAAATGAAAATAAATGAAGACTCCCCAGAAACACACACAGGATCGTTTATTGGTTGCTGCTTGCGTGAGATCTTTGCCTGTGACGGAGACTCTTTGATCCGTGGACCGCTGAGTATCAGATTTGGTTGATCTTGTTTCACAAAGGAAACAAGAATTGAAGTAAATATCTCAATGAGGTGAGATAGGTACAATTCTCAATATCACAACGATAGTATGATCTTAAGGAAACTAATGCAGGGGTTGTAGATCTATTGAACTCCTCCTCATTATACTGAGGAACTTGCCAAGATCTCGCCTTAAGATCTAAAATTCGTGGTTCTCCTCTCATAGGGTTTGCAACTCACCTCCAAGCTCTGAATTCTATATCCTCGTGTATAGGGTCCCTAGGGGTGTATTTATAGGCTTCAGCTGCACTATTTTCGGATAAAAATTTATGATTTAGTCTTATCTTTAGTTAATAATAGCTCTCTCACATTTAAGGATAGCCTTAAGACAGTTAGGGAGGCTCCGGAACTATCAAAACTAATAAAAAATAATCGAAAACACGTCTCAGGGCTTCATTCTGTGTGAAACAGTCTTGTCTGTTTCGTACATGGGTGAAACAGTTCGGGGTGTCTCGCACATATGCGAGACAGTTTGTACTGTCTTCGTTATTTTAGCTCTAATTCTTTCATATGACCTCATAATGAGGTGATTTACATTGCGTTAAAAAGCTGACGAAAAGACCTATAACTTTTGTCTTTTGAGGTTTTTTGGATTCGAATTGAATCATGATCGAAATTCCAGTTCTTCTTGAATCATGCATTCTAAATCTTGTTATTGCCCCATCGCTTCGTGCATTCCTTTACTTCCCCCTTAGCATTGAATAATCCTCTTTGACTCAGACATTGATGTTCATCACCTTCTCTTTGTCTCGAGATGTGTGCTGGAACCTATAGATAATTTTTGACGCCTACAGATACTATCCCCAAAGTGTTTCAGTCTTATTCTTTTATAGAGGAGACTAGAATACTTTGGATATGGCCTTCAATTCTTTAACTTCTTTAGTTTTCAATCTATTCAATATTTTGTTGAATAGCTAAAATTCTTCTGGTGCTGCGTTTATCGTCTGACCGTTGTCGAAATCTTAAATTGAAACTAGTGTGTGGATTTCTAAATTAGCAATGTTATGGAAGAGTAGGTTACCAAGGCTTTGACTAACACTGCAGACTCCATACAAATTAAGAGTGAATCTGTCGTCGC